CAAATGTCTGTTGAAACAAGAAAGTCTTCACCTGCCAGTGGAATGACAGCAAGGAGGGAGGCAGTCCTGCTTCTCTAGAGAAGGAGTAGCCACGGAGAAGGCCCTGTCCTGCATCCCTACCAAGTAAGCCTGTGATGGTGGTGGGACCAAGAGAAGAGTGTGGTGTAGTGGTTAAGAGCGGTGGACTCATAATCTGGTGAACCAGGTTCGATTCCTCGCTCCTCCACATGCAGCTGCTGGGTGACCTTGGGCTAGTCATACTTCTTTGAAGTCTCTCAGCTCCACTCACCTCACAGAGTGTTTGTTGTGGGGGAGGAAGGGAAAGCAGATTGTTAGCTGCTTTGAGACTCCTTGGGGTAATGATAAAGCAGGATATCAAATCCAAACTCTCTCTCTCTCTCTTCCCCCCAAGACCTCAAAACTCAGAATGAGGGAATGTACGAGAGAATATGGTTTTTCAGACAGCTTAAGCCTAAGCCGTGTAGTGCTTTGTAAGTCATAACCAGAACTTTGAATATGAAACACTTTCACACTAAGCATAGCAATGAACTTAACAAATCTAACAGCTCACTTGCTAATGTATATAATATATCTAATACATTAGAACTAAGACTGGGTGGTTTTTGCTACTCTGCTTTTGAGGTTTCAGATATTTAAAATTATATATAAAGTGCCAAACATGAACAGCACATCCTTGGGGGTCCTGCCATCTTCCTTTCTGTGTACATGACCAAGACAGCGTAGACATCCCTGAGATAGAAGTGTGAACCTGCTGGGAATCTGGGCTTGGGAGAGGACATCTCTGCTTGGAGGAGAAACTCAATGGTGCACCTGTAGCAACACAACTGGATGCCTTCATCTGCCCCACCTGCAATAAAACATGTCTCTTCCATATCGGTCTTTACTGCCATGAAAAAGTAACAATGGGTCACCAAAGATCCTCCTGTACTGGGTAGTATTGTGTTGATAGTGTAGTAGCCCACAATTAAACTTCATTTGCCATCAATGCCATTGACTTGGTCTTAAAATGAGCTCTAGCCTGATTTTGATCAGATTTAACCTGATTTTCCTGATATTTTCTCTACTGATGCTCTAACTACCATTCCCACTTTTTTCATTACCCTTCCTAATATGGCATGGAACCAAGTGGCTTTCTATGAGTACTCCTGTCAATGGGAAAGGCTGCCTAGGACAAATCATGTCAGACATCTGGGACATTTCTTCATCCCCAAGGTCAACTAGAGCTTTGCAATGACCACTTTGCCAATAGGAGTCTCCCAAGTGCCACCAGGAAATCATTCAGTGTAACCACCACACTAATAGGATGTTCCTAAGGGCTATCCAGAAATCCTTAGAATCTTTCAGTTTGTGAAGAATGAGCCATCCTAATGGCTAATCCACTCCTGTATAGCTCAGGGGTCTCTGTGGACCAATATCCCACCAACATTTTGACCATCAATCTAAGCTGTCAACCAGCACTGGCAGGAACAGTCATGAGGCAACAGTGACTGTTGGGTTTAATTACTTTTATTTGAGTCATTTCAGGGCACAAAAGAAGCAGTAGTAGCAGCATACACTGCATATACAGCCCAGTACAGTGGTACCTTGGTTCTCAAACTTAATCCGTTCTGGAAGTCCGTTCCAAAACCAAATTGTTCCAAAACCAAGGCACGCTTTCCCACAGAAAGTAATGCAAAATGGATTAATCCATTCCAGACTTTTAATAACAACCCCCCAAACAGCAATTTAACCTGAATTTTACTATCTAACGAGACTATTGATCCATAAAATGAAAGCAATAAGCAATGTACTGCACTCACACAATCAATCAGTAGCTGAACTGGGTTCCACAGAGTCACAGACACACCACAAAAACACAAAATAAATAGCAAAAACAGACAGACCTCAGTGTGTTATGTCAAATGGAAGTGTGGCACTCAAAATGGAGCAGATTCAACTTCCGAAAAAAGTTCGCAAACCGGAACACTTACTTCATGGTTTGCAGTGTTTGGGTTCCAAGTTGTTTGAGAACCAAGGCATTTGAGAATCAAGGTACCACTGTAGTTGAGTGGCCTGTAAAGGTTTTCAAGGGCAAAGGAAAAGGAGGAGAATTTTATTCACCCAACCACACACAAACACACATTTGTGACAAAAGTCATTAGGTCTTCAGGGTGTGCTAACCCTCCCTCCCTCCCTCCCTCCAATAAATCATGGGTAGCTGGGATTTTCCCACACCCCATCACTAAAATATTGAGGGGTTACCTATAAATTTATTGGTACAAACCAAAAGGGTGGAGAAGGAGTTAAAACTGTAGGAATATTCAGCGTATGATTGAACGTTGTTGTTTGGTGGAACCTATTTTAGGCAAGAAATGTCTACAAAAATGTAAGGACGATCTAATTAAATATTTGAGTCACTGCTATAGACTTTATACATCTTCTTCTGAACAATAAATCACAAGCAGAACAGGTTGTAAGAATTTAAAGTTGGTGGGGGTAAAGAAAAAATGCTTGAATTTCCTTCACTGGATGCAACTTTCCTTGTGGAGGTAACTTGGAGAATATTTTAGTTAAGTATATATCAGGGAAAGGTCAATCTTTACACATGAATGGCTTGAATTTGTATTTCAGATTCATATGCTGTTGCCCCTGCAGCAAAACTTTCAACTGAGCAGAAAATATTTTTCCAATGAGCCATTTACTAAAACAATCACATAAATGTAGTTCTAACACTGCCTGAACTACCACTGTGACAATTTGCCATGATTTAACTTTTAAATTTGAAAACGCTGACATGATGGCGAAAATGACAAATAACAAGAACAAACGCATTTCAGCAAAGGGCAACATTCCTCGTGTAATTGTCACAGGATTGTGTCAAATGGACACACGCTCCCTGTTGTTCATAATTGCCTTGCACCTTTGTTCAGGCCTCACTTCCAACTGAGTAGCATAATTTTACATCTCTTTGAAAATGCTTCCCTGCTTTATAATCCTGTTGATTTCTCTAGATTATTGTTTAATACTTTCATTCCTAAATATCAGTGTTTTCCCCAATATGTTTTCCCCCTCTGCCCCCATTACACACACTGAACATCTTCTTTAGAAGCTATGCCGAATCTTTTCCATTCGTCATCCACTTCTGTTTTCCTTCGCATTTTCAAAACTCACAGTATTTTGAAAATTAATTAATAGGACAATATATGTGAGCTGTTATTTGTTAGTGCACTCACTTAAATTTAATTTCCGTACCCTTTATATAACATTCAGTAGTTCATTCCTGGACAAACACACAAAGCTTTTGAACAGAGTTGACTTTTGATTACAATTATTATTAATTTTAATCACCCTTTCCCAAAGGCTCAAGTGACATCATGTATAATTAATATAAATTGGGATTCAGAGAATGGCTTAAACATTTCCAATGGGACTTCTGACTTCCTACCCCCTTGAACACAGTGTCGTGAGCCATATTGCAAAGTGTTTTTCAAAGTCCTCTTAGTTTTAAAAGCATTTCACTATATGTCACCTGAAACTATTTATTCGGTAGTATTGAACTAAGTTTTACTTAGAGTAGACCTTTGAAATTAAGGAACATGACCTATTGATTTCAATAGGTCTGCTCTGTGGAACACTTAGTTCAGTACCACCTATTATTATTATTATTATTATTATTATTATTATTATGGCCGGATTTAGGTTTGATGAGGCCCTGAGCTACTGAAGGTAATGGGGCCCTTTATATGTCCATGGTCAACAACAAATTGTCGCTGTTTTTTGTGTTGAATATATGCTATATGGTAATTTATGGACTTACAGTGATACCTCGGGTTACATACGCTTCAGGTTACATATGCTTCAGGTTACACACTCCGCTAACCCAGAAATAGTGCTTCAGGTTAAGAACTTTGCTTCAGGATAAAAACAGAAATCGTGCTCCAGCAGCGCAGAAGCAGCGGGAAGCCCTATTAGCTAAAGTGGTGCTTCAGGTTAAGAACAGTTTCAGGTTAAGTACAGACCTCCGGAACGAATTAAGTACTTAACCTGAGGTACCACTGTAATAGGTATCTAAAGCCATTTGCACATAACAAATATGTATTTTATCAAAGTAATTGTTGAACTGAAATACAATTAATAAGAAGTATATTAATAGTGAAACACAACCCTATATATAGAAATGTGCAAACCAGTGATATTTTAGGGAGCAGGCTAGCAGGCGGGGCCCATTGCTTACATCATAGGAGCCTACACAACACAAAACACTGTTGCTGTATGTAAGTTTTATATTATTTGCTTTTTTGTAAATGTACATCCAGTTTTTTTTTCCTTTAAATTTTTTGGGGGCCCCCAAGAGAGTGGGGCCCTAAGCTATAGCTTGTTTAGCTTATACATAAATCCGGCCCTGATTATTATTATTCAGTATGATCTGAGCACAGTGATGCTCAGGACTCTCAAGAGGTACAGGAAACATGTTGGAGTTAGCAAGAAACCTCAAGAGAATAGTTGAAAGGATTGGACAGGAGCCTGGACCTGGCAGTGCTTGTTTGAGGGGAAGAAAGGAGACAATAAACTTCAGCCTGGAGAGAAGGAGTCTGTGCAGGAGGCTCAGTGGTGAACCAGAACTTTCTTTTTGCTTTAGTGAAAAGCTGACCCAAGGAGTCTGCTGTTCAAATGGTTCCCTTTCTTCTTTGGTTGCTGAGGACCCACTACCGTTTGAAGTCTTCCTCTAGTGAATCCTTAACATACGACGTGACTAACCAAAGGGAGGTCTGATGTCATCAGGAATGGTATCGCTGACATATCTAACAAATCTTGGGAAAAGGTCTCCTCAACACTGATGCATCTTAAGGTACTGAGTCAATGTACTTTTCAAAACTATAGTGAGAGTTACTCATGTTAGAAGGCAGTCATGAATCATATTCAAGTTTCCCTATTTAGAATCAGAGAATCAGAGTTGGAAGGGGCCACAAGGATAATCTAGTTCAACACCCTGTAATGGTGGAATCTCACCCAAAAGGGGGCGCAAACCCACAACCCTGAGATTCAGAGTCTCATGCTGTACCAGCTGAGCTAGTTCATCCATATTATCTCTCTATCGCTCTCTCAAACACACCAGGGGCAGACTTTGGTCTTTCAAATTTCAGCAGTGCCCTGTGTGAGGTCAAATTTGGCACCTCATGGCTCTCAGCTTCCATTCTGCACATGCAATATGTCGTAGTTGCAGCACCTTGCAGCACCACCTCAGCTCAATGCCCAGTGCAGGGGAACAAGTCATGATGCCCTAAATCCACCTCTACACACACACACACACACACACACACACACACACACTAGAAGCCCATGTCAACCTTCAGATCCATTTCCATGTGGCAAGGAACTGGGCATGTGAAAATGGATGCCTGATTATTGTCTTCCAAAGCAACTACTCCATTCCCAACTTAAGAATAGAAAGCGTAATGCTGGTGGACAACACAAGAGGTTTAAAGATGCTCTCAAGGAGAAACTAAAAAAGAAAACTAGTATAAAGAACAACAACTGGGAAACACTGGCCTGCGAGTGCTCCAATTGGAGAACAGCCTTTACCAAAGGTGTCCTTGACTTTGAAGAAGCACAAACTCAGGACAAAAGGGAGAAACTAGCTAAGAGGAAGGCATGTTTGGCAAATCCTCAGCGTGATCAGCTCCCTAGGTCCCCACTGTGGAAGGATGTGCAGATCCAGAATTGGCCTCAACAGTCACTCACAGACATACTGTTAAGACCATATTCATGGTAGACAATCTTACTTGGCTACGAATGATCACCAAAGAAGTTACAAATCCATATGGTGGATAGCCAATCTGTCGTTACTCCAAGGGCAACTACATATCTTCATCTTAATGCAGACCTGAATAAACATCTGCATCGATGCTACAAAAAAAAGCATGTGCTGCACTTCTCATGCAGTTCCCTCTCAAACAAATACTGGAAATGATTTCTTTTGAAATGAGACTGTTGCAGTTATATGATCAATGTGTGGCCTTTTGATTTGACACACATTTTTCTTATGCCTGTTATTCGGAGGCCTGGGAATTAACTCCTGTTAACTCTTCTCTGCCAATTCTTATTGGATCAAATATTGGCTGCTTCTGTTTAATCTATTCTTTGTTATCTTCCTTTGTTAGTGAAGTTTGGAAAGTTCCACAGCACATCTTTCAGAAGAGCCAGAGTGAATTGCTCAGCATAGTCTTCCCCACTACTACTCTGGCATTGAAGCAGCCCAATCTTCAACCTATTTTCCTCATCTTAAACACTCATATGATTGCTAAATTACTTCCAAACATGCATAGTTATACAGTTGTACCTTGGTTTTTGAGCAGCTTAGTTCACAAACAACTCGGAACTCGAACGTTGCACACCCGAAAGTAGGTGTTCCGGTTTGCGAACTCTGCCTTGGAAGCCAAACATCCGGTGCGACTTCCGTGACTTCTGATTGGCTACAGGATGCTCCTGCAGCCAATCAGATGCCGCACCCTGGTTTCCGAACATTTCGGAAGTCGAACGGACTACTGGAGCACATTCTATTTGAAAACCAAGGTACGACTGTATGAGCATTTGTGTGTCATATACAAGGTGCCCTGTTTCTAAGAGAAGGGCAATTAGAGCCAGGTTTGAGCAAAATTGAAGGGACGCAGGTGGCGCTGTGGTCTAAACCACTGAGCCTTGAGCTTGTGAGTCGGCGGTTTGAATCCCTGCAATGGGGTGAACTCCCATTGCTTGGGCCCAGCTCCTGCCAACCTAACAGTTCGAAAGCACACCAAAAACTGCAAGTAGATAAATAGATACTGCTCCAGCGGGAAGGTAAACGGTGTTTTCGTGCACTGCTCTGCTTTCGCCAGAAGCGGCTTAGTCATCCTGTCCACATGACCCGGAAAAACTGTCTGCAGACAAACATTGGCTCCCACGGCCAGTAAAGCGAGATGAGTGCCGCAACCCCAGAGTCATTCATGACTGGACTTAACTGCCAGAGGTCTTTATCTTTACCTTTATGGGCAAAATTAGGTCACAACTTTATAGAAAACAATAAATATGCAGGGCTGGCAAGGCACAGGACAACCAAATATGAGAGAGCTTGCCTGCTGTCCAATAACCCCATCTCAAGCCTCGTTCCCGGTTCCCCCACCTTGAGGCTGCTAACAAAGCAATGGTTTCTCTATTTTGATAGATGGGTGATTTAATTTCTATACCACTTAATATATTTAAAATATCTCTAAGCAGTGTACAAAAACTGAAGCAACAACAGACAAATTAAAGAAAATATTACAAAAATAAACAGATGCATATAAAAAGGTTACATTAATAAAAAGTTACATGCATGCATGCATTTTTGGGTGCTGTGCATGATCTTACTCCGAAAAAGCATATTTTTTTGGGGGGGAGGGGATGAGAGCAAGCAATGGGTCACATGACTTGCCCAGGAGTACGTTCTGGAAGACCCATGTCCTGGTGAGGGGTCTCCAGAAGTTTGAAGGTATGGGATTGTATAATCTTGGAATGGTGGCCTCATCATGCTATTGTCCTCCAGAACCACTAATGAATGAGAATCAATAAATCAAAGGATGGGAAGCCTCAGGTCTGAAGCCCTCCAGGTGTCAACACTTCAGGGAATTATGATTCCTCCCCCCCCCCCCCGGTGGCAGTCAAAAAAGCAGATAACCGAAGAGTGCTTACCACGTAATTTATTCAGTATTCACAAAGAGAGACAAAGGAATGCTGTCTCCATTAAAGAATGGCATTGCTCCAAGTAAAGTCCCGCCCCTACAATCCTTCCTAATCTACCTCATCCCTATGCTGGCTGGTCAGTGCTTCCTGTCGTTGAGATTTCTGTTCTGCTACTCTCAGGGCCCGCCTGGATTTGGGAGAGGAGGGCAGTCAGGAATGCTTTCAAGAGACACTGAGCCTGTTTTCTCTCTCTCCTCTGGTGCTTCTCCTTCCTGCTGCTGAGAGCCAGTGTGGTGTAGTGGTTAAGAGTGGTAGACTCGTAATCTGGTGAACCGGGTTCGCTTCCCCACTCCTCCACATGCAGCTGCTGGGTGACTTTGGGCTAGTCACACTTCTCTGAAGTCTCTCAGCCCCACTCACCTCACAGAGTGTTTGTTGTGGGGGAGGAAGGGAAAGGAGAATGTTAGCCGCTTTGAGACTCCTTTGGGTAGTGATAAAGCGGGATGTCAAATCCAAACTCCTCCTCCTCCTCCTCCTCCTCCTCCTCCTCCTCCTCCTCTTCCTCCTCCTCCTCCTCCTTCTCCTCCTCCTCTTCTTCTTCTTCTCCCCCAATATTTCCTAGCTTTTCTCCTTGGCAGCCTCTGAACCAGGCATAGGCAAACTCAGCCCTCCAGATGTTTTGGGACTATAATTCCCATCATCCCTGACCACTGGTCCTGTTAGCTAGGGATCTGGAGGGCCGAGTTTGCGTATGCCTGCTCTGAACTATACACTGTTCTAAATCTATAACGTCCTCTTCTTCTTGGGAAGGTGTAGAGAGTGGGGCAGTGGCTCTCACCATTCCTCCTCAGTCCAGCCCCTAACATCAGGCATCACCTTTGATCTATTGCCAGTCACCACCCCCTCACCCCTCACCAGTCCCACTCCATGCCCTCCTCAAGTGTTTTTGACTGGTTGGAATGTGTCCTTGAACTGTTCTTGTCTCTTGCTCACCTGAATGGAGGTATTCAGCCTAGATAACATATGTCCCTACATTATATAATCTGTGCTTTGTTGAAGAAATAGCTACATACGCAGTTATGATGCTGTTTATACAGTTCTCAGTCATTAATTCTGTAGAATGACCTCCAGGTTCACAAAGGCCTGTGAGATTTCGCCTTGATTGTTTGCTGATGTAGAAAGAAGTTCATACAATATCACAAAATAGCATCTTAAAGTCGTTTCGCTGACTCTTAACTCTGAGACAGGGCTAAGGTGGTTTACACGGTTATTAAGTTATCGCCTTAATTAAAATCAAATGCATGTTGTTGTTTTTTTGTTTTTTTTTTACAAAATTATATTATATAATTGGGATAAGTGTTCCAAAAAGAGAAAAAAGGTCTGTTTCAGACAAAGTTAAGCACTTTTCAGTCCAAAATTTCAAATGGAGAGACAGAAGAACTTTTTCATTCTACACAAATCCTAAAAGTGCTCAACTTTGACTAAATCATGACCAGTCTCTCTATAATCCTTTCTCTGAATTAATAGCTCATATGCTATATAGCTGGGCAGTTTATCCAGATCAGTTACTAGTTGCCTAATAAAATTCGTAATGGGGTTGATATGAAAAATTAATCTTTTTTACTGCATGCTATTATGTACTTAGAATAAATATAAACTCGTTTTTGTTCTAATGTGTGTTATTTAGGTTTCAATCCTATAAACACTTACATGGGAGTAAGCCCCATTGAACGAAGCTTACTTCTAAGTAGACAGGAAGATGATTGCGCTGTTAGTATTTTTAATGTACTGAAATACAAAGCAGGAAATAAAAGGTTTCGAGAAATAAATTGTATGGTGATATTCACCCCTTTGCAGTTTATGACAATACAATGATGAATTGTCTCGCAGTCGCACTCACTGAAGGCATGAAAGGTTAATAACTCATTTAAACATTCATTACATGTCCCTATCAAAGTCATCTTAATTTCACAAAGACATCTAAGTTTCTCTTCGGGGAAACTCTCTCTCAGGATTTGAGTGTGATTCTTTATTAACAAAATGGCAAGTGCAGAGCTACATGTCAAAACCCTGACTGATGATGCTGTAAATTGGTTCTTCTACCAAAGCAGAAGACTTTAAATTACTACTTTTTAAAGGTGTGCTCCCTCAAAGGCAATTAATGTGTCAGTTGTCAGTCAGGATTATTTAATTTCCCAGTGAGGTCTACAAAAATGGGCGCCGTGGATTGACAAAGAGAACATGAGAGTTCTAATAGTGCTACTGATTGTGTACCTTTATCTCATCTAAAATTGAAGGCACTATGGCTCACTGAAGCTATAACATTTGACATGTTCGTTAGTAGTAACAATACAGATCTCTACCTCGTTCGGAACATTT